TATACATTAAGCTCATTTAAGATGATTATTACAAAGGGGTGTTCTTTGTTTAATAATTGGAAGTGTCGTAATTACTAAACATCGGATTCAAATTTCTCTAAACTTATCAATATCGTAAAATAATAATAACAGGAACCTTATAATTAATTTTGACTCAAACAATGTTTATTAGCAAATCTCAAAGTCGTGTACGTTTACATCAGACACAAAAATAATGAGAAACACATATTATAGACCCTATAAAACACAAATATTGTTCAATGCATTATTTTAGAATTTATTTATTTATTATTATAAATTGTAAAACTGTGACACGGAAAATATAAGGTAAATTAGATTTTGAACCCATGTTAACTAGAATAAACTAGTACAGTTTCCCTTAAAAAATATTCATATCAAATTGTTATCTTACTCGTACATCCTACCACCAGCCATTTCGGTACCTACCTAGTTCGTTTACAATCCTAACTCTTAAAAAAGAACCAATATATTGGCCACAGTTACAGTTTGTAAATAATTAGTTATTACAGCGGAATACGCGACCTCTGTTCAAGAATGTGTTCGAGCCACACCACCAGGGCTATGGGGGCGGTAATTATCACAGAGCAATGTTGCCTATATCGTAATTACGACAAATTGTACGGTGAACATATAAATTCAAACATTGTTGATAGAGTAGGGTAGATAGGTAATGCCATGCACTTTACGGCCTTCTACGGACTTATTTAGTCGGCCCAAAAGGCCGAGTGCCTGTCATTAAACACTCGGCAAAATGTTAGTAGTAAAAAACGGAGAGCTCCCAGGAGGCTTATTCAATATAGGCGCTGAAATTAAATCTAAAGTTTATTAATGCCTCCAATGTCGTCCATAAAAATTAAAGTAATTGAATAATTATCACTACGTCTTAATCAATGGCGTTTTGTGATATTCTAAATAAGATTAGTTCAATGTAGAGTAACGTCACAGACATAAAACATGCACAAGTTTTTATAAAGATCACACTGAAGGAGAGACGTCTTTGCACGTAAACGTAGTTGTAAAACAAAGATTAGATCGTCCATTAGCCTTTATAGCACCTTCCAGGGCTGGGGTTGCAACGATAACGTTCGGAGGGTGGGCGAAAGCGGGGTTGGTTGATAGGACCTGACCGAATCGATGCATTAAATAAATTGTTGCGTCGTGTCATAAGAGAAATTGTTATACGCATAGCAAATAGTATGGCAGTGATGTCTTAATTATCTTTTCTTATCTTCCTCTTTATATACCTAACTGGGCATGTCATTAGTCTGTCGATTATTCACAATTTTACGCTCAGGCAATCTTAGAGAACCTAGAAGTGATTTAAACGTTGCTAAATTATGTGATTAAAGTTGCTATTAAACGGTGTTCTTGCCTGTAAATCCATCAAATCATGATATTAAGGAATATACGTACAGACATTCGACCCGCCATTTGTGTTCTCTTGTTTGCTTAAATACATGCTAAATAATAAGGACATTCGAAAATTTTACACCGTGCCAATTAATTACGTTTAAACTCTAAAGATAACACGGAAGTACACAAATATCGTTAAAACACCTATCTAACTAACGATACTGATTTGATAGGTCTGATAATTATTTACTTTGTGTACCTTTTGCACCTAATTGTTCATAATTTTTATCATGCTTTTATTAACTTCACACTACTTCCACCCACTTCTAAACGTCACGATATAAACGAAACCGGCTTTGTAAAAACTATTGTAATAAACTATTGTAATAACTAATATTACCCAATAACCAGTTCCAACCAAGGCACAAGATGAAGACATAATTCAGCTTCAACACATGTCGACTTGTCACCAAATATGTTTTTTTTTTATATAAAAAGTTGGCAAGCGAGAAGGCAGTTCGCCTGATGTTAAGTTAATACTGCTGAACTTATGAATTGCAAACCTATTAAAACTGCATACGCTGTTAGTGAGTGAACCCTCAACAAAAACGTATTGGCATAACTGTTGTATGTCGCAAATAATTATGAACCAGAGACAAATAAAGTCCACTGAAGTATATCACTTGGACCACTTCTTTGCAGAAACGGCGCATCCCCGATAGCATTATGGCAAAAGAATACATATATTTGAATGTGGGTATCGGTACGAGGAATAGGGAATGACTGGATTATATTTGTGTCGCGAAACATAGAAGGGTGCGAAGGGTGGTTGGAATTTGAGATCGTTTTGAGTAAATGTAAAATGGGAAAAAAAATCGCTAACGTTAATACTCGCCACGGACTAGTATTAGTAGTCAGTAATGATTAGTAGTCAGCTTAGTCTATAAAATAACTAGTTATTTATATAGTTCGTGGTAAAAAAAACGAATTGTGAATCAATTCAACAAATACAGATTGATTCACAATCGCCTGAATTGAAACGGTTTGAACAGTTGCTTGTAAATTATACCTCACACTGTCATTAATATTTAATTTTTAATAATAACGTTAAAAAAGTCAACCAAATATCCTATAACCTATGTATGTCCCACTGCTGGGCAAGGCGTCCTCAGTACAGACGGGATCAGGGCAACGTCCACCACGCGACTCCACTGAAAATTGGCAGACTTCACACATATTCGCATGTGTTTCTTATTATTTTGAAAATATGCGGATAATTCCACACGATCGCTGATTACGTGATAAGGCAGCAGTTGCGTACAAGTATATTAATATCAAATGTACATGTTGGCGCTGGCAACACTGTATACCGGATATGACGTTATCTACTTGAGCCAAGGGACACATGGTCACGTGGAGCAGCGGTCACTGCGATTTCGGCCTCGTTCCCGGACGGTGATATAACCACTAGTGCTGCTTGTCCTTATAATAGTTAATATTCAAGTTCAGTAATAGTTAAAATATTAGGATCAAGGTAAAAACGTTAGAACTCTTATATCAGAAGTGGGATTCAATACGAAAAGTCGCATTTGGCTGTTCAAACAATCGGTGAAATATTTTCTCCTTGTATACCTACCCTCGTAAAATACTCTACTTCTCCCCATTCTCGACTATGCCGACGTGAGCTATCTGGATTTAACCGAGGAGCAACTTGATAAGCTTGAACGTATCCAAAATCTCTGTATAAGATTCATATTTGGCTTACGTAAATATGATCATGTTTCACATTTCCGTTCTAAGCTCAAGTGGTTACCCATTCGACTTCGCCGGAATGCTCATATACTCTCCCTTCTTTACAACGTTCTGTTTAATCCTTCGTATCCCTTTTATTTAAAGAAACGTTTCGAGTTTTTACACGAATCTCATCCACATCTTCTGAGATCATCAGAGAATTTGAAATTAAAAATACCTGCTCACAAAACAAAATTTATGGCTAAGTCCTTTATGGTTCAAGGTGCGAAATTATGGAATGCCCTACCTCTGGAGGTGAGACGTGCTCAGTCACTTTCCACTTTTAAAAACCTTGTCAAGAGTCACTATTTGTCACTTTAAATCTGGTTTAGATACAGAATGTATTAACTATGTTTATATATATATGTATATATGTTATATATAAATATATTTATATATATATATATATATATTTGTTTTGTTATTTATGTACTCATTTATCTATTCATTTATTTATTTTTACAACAAAGAATGTATTTATCTTATAAAATTTATAGAATTTTACCCACACCCCTAAATATTCTTTTCATATTATGTCCATCCAAAGGTTGCCTGGAAGAAATTGCTTTAAGTAATAAGGCCGCCCATTGTACAACCCTTGCATAATTGTTATTTTTAATGTATTCTTTTTACCATGGTGTGTGCAATAAAGAATATTCATTCATTCATTCATAAAACAGTGTGTTTTATACTTACTATACGCAATGGTGATAAAACATTTTGGTTAAATGTAACGAAAGTTTTGGTGAGTACCTTCCAATTAATTAATTACTTATCATATTTAAGAAAATGTAAAATAGCGATACACAACTGGTTTACCGGATTAAGCTACCGAGCATTTTAGTAGTTGGAAGATATAAGGCATGAACTGGTGATGGATATCCATTGTGAACACCACCACTGATACTCAGACAACGTAGCGATACACGACTGTTGTAACCGGTAAAGCCACCTAAGTTTGATAAATCCCTGAAAACTGTGAACGTGGCGATATACGCCCCAGTCGTGAGGGATAAGCAACAGGGTAAGGTGTTCTGAACGAGACTATATGCATCCCAGTTATGAGGGATAAGCCACAGGGTAAGATGTTCTGAACGTGGCGATATGCATCCCAGTTGTGAGGGATAAGTCACAGGGTAAGTGTTTTGAACGTGGCGATAAGCATCCCAGTTGACGAGGGATAAGCCATAGGGTAAGTGTTTTGAACGTGGCGATATGTATTCCAGTTGAAGGATAAGCCACAGGGTAAGGTGTTAATTTTATGAAGGTTACATGTACCAGACTACAACGCCATTCGAGGACGATGGCGTGATGCAGGACGGCCGAATGTTGGCGCTGGCAACACTGTATACCGGATATGACGTTATCTACTCGAGCCAAGGGACACATGGTCGCATGGAGCAGCGGTCACTGGGATTTGGGCCGCGTTCCCGGACGGTGATATAACCACTAGTGATGCTTGTCCTTATAATAGTTGTTAATATTCAAGTTCAGTAATAGTTAAAATATCAAGGTAAAAACGTTAGAACTCTTATATACATAATATAGATTTTGTATTAAATAGTTAAGAAATCACATTAGGGTTTAATGTACATTTAAAATAATCAATTAAGGCATGTCTCACTTAAATATTTTTATGGATTTACTGTACAGAAATATCCGTAAACCTTTCATGATACAAAAATTAATATTCGATTTTATTTTCCCGGTAATTGACAACCTCTGATATGGCAGAAGGTCGTGATAGTTTGAATATATAGAAGCGTAGTCTCGCTGTAGAGCATTGGCAACATTGACTAGAAGCTCGTAGCACCAGTCGAGAAACACCTGTCGACATGAAAGCTTGTCTGTGTGTCTGCCTAGTAATAGTCGCCGGTGCCGTCGGTAAGTGATATCTTACAGTTGATACCTTTTATTAATCATATAGCATCATGGTTAGCATACTTTGTAAATAATATCATAGATATTTTTAAGTCAGTCCGGATTTATGTTATTCTGTTTTAATATTTTCCAACGGCGCCTTTTGAACATTTTTGTGTTTGTTCGTCTCTCTGTTCGTTTGTTTGTTTGTTTTTATCAAACAACTCCAAAAAGGAGGAGGTTCACACATCGGTTTTATGTCGTTTAACAGATAAGCGATTTTAAAATTTTTTTAGCATTCGTTTCGGTTCAGCGCCCCCGTGGGCCCATATCAAATTTATTGGTATTAGATTTTGATGAATAAGTTAAATCCTCAAAAACATATAGAAAATGTGTAGTGATAAAGATATTTGGAGGTTTGATAATTTCTTGTATTTACGCGATTTCACATCACTACATAGTATAAAACAAAGTTGCCCCGGTGTCTGTCTGTCCCTATGTATGCTTAGATCTTTAAAACTAGGCTATCTTTAAAACTAGGGATCTTGATGCGGTTTTTTTACTAGATGGAGTGATTCAAGAGGACGGTTTATATGTATTATGTACTAGCTGCTGCCCGCGACCTGCCCATTCGTGCAACAACGAAGACTGTTGTGTTCCCTACAACAGTTGAAAAATTTAAAATGTTGAAACTTTCAGTGCATAACGATTCGGTAATTTAGATCAGTTTTCTTGCAAATTCCAAACCGATTTGGATGAAGCTGTTAATTATATCGTTTAAACATAAAAAAGTTATCACGTACACCTAATATAATTGTTTACCGCAATTCTTGCAATGAGACCATTCATTGTCTCCAAAGCTATCATAAACTGTTTTCTTTTGCGTTAACGAGCGTTTCGTCGAAATCGATTGTTGAAGTTTGTACAATTGATCCGAGCTGTAGCAAGAACAGACCTGTTTCAAATCAATAAAATAACCGAACTGACGTCCTCTGACCGTAATTAGGTGAGAGAACAATCATTGCAAAATTTGATCATTGTTTTTCTCACCAGTCAAAAAGCTCTTTTCTTAAACGAATGAAAATCGGAACCTTGGTGTAATTGTCATTTATTGGAAGTTATAGTCAGAGCAAATAAAAATTTTACTATACAACAACAATATTTTATAATTTGATAGTTTAGCTTAGTCATAACCGTGGAAGGTTTTATACTCCTGCGTTTTCTCTATTGGGTGAGGTAACCGATGCTTCTTTAATATAAGGTGTCAACGCATCTGCAATACGGGTGTTGAATTGTCCGTGTTAAACCGCTAGTCAGTGCCGGATTTAGCAAACGCGAGGCCCGTAGCAAATTCTTTCAAACAGCTCTTAATCAGATATGGGATCTAAGTATAAATTGGTGAATAATACAATTCATTACTATTACTTTTTTAATAAGTTTCACTCAAAAAAGTAAGGCTCAGGCAGATATGACTGGATTTAATTAATTATGCGGGGCCCACATAAGAAAAAAACAGAAACACAAGAAAGTCGTATTTTTGTGCATTTCGCGTACCAGGCCAACGATGCGGTCCGAACGAGCACTTCGAGGTATGCGGCAGCCCCTGCCCGAGGACCTGTCAAAATCCTAACCCCATATGCATACCGCGCTGCGCGAGCGGCTGCTTCTGCAATAGGAACAGGGTGCGAGACGAGAAGAGCGGCGAATGCATCGAGCCTTCCAGCTGCACGAGTAAGTTATAGCGAGGGAACCCACAAACCCCGGCGCCGATGCCAATAGTTAAGCAACTGCGCCATAGCGATGTCGAAAAAGTATCGATGTATCGATTCTATATATCGATATTTTCAGCCGATATATTTGGATCCGATATATCGATCAAAATATTCAGTATCTAAAATTGTATCGACGACAATATTTTTTACAAATTCGAATCCGGCAGAGTCCGTAGTCGTCAATTATTTACATACCTTTTTTTTTTTGGACAAAGGTTTCTAGGACTATATCAGATATATCGAGGCCGAGGCCGATATTGATATCTTTATAAATATTGATACATCAATATATTTCTTCACTTTCGCCATCCCTACTGCGCCAACGAGTCATCTTATGTAGAACATAATATAATGGGGTATAAAAATCTCACCTGTGCACCTGTTGCGTCTCAAAATGTTCATTTTTAGCTTCAGGATTCACCGATTTTAGTAAACGTTACTGCACAATATAACATTAGGTGTGCACTATTGTAAAATGAAATCCAACACACGCGATAATCTTGCTTATATTATTATAGAACGCCATTTTCCAATTCCAATTTTTATATTTCCGAAAACCACGGCTTTTCCGTGGAAATACACCATTGATCTAATTAAAGTCCGCGACGATAAATTTAAATAATTAGATTTAAAATTCAAAGATCCAAAAACATTGCCGCGCGCATTTTTCTCTAACCGCCTCATATTAGATTGCGTCAAAGAAAGAATTAGCCCAGGCACAGATTAAATACTTATAAAAAAGCGGATGGAAGAACTGATAATGAACAAAGGAAATAGTTGTTCAGTAAAAGTATTTAATTTTTTTGAGAAAATGATTACAATTGTTATGTAAGGAAAATGACATTTGTAATAGTAATTTTTAATAAATCGAAATATTGTGTGGTAACTTCGAGGTTGTGTTAAAAAACGGTAATATCATAATAATTTATTTTCGTATTATTTGAAAAATAATCGAACGGAACTATCTTCTTCAGGTCAATCCGCAAGGCGCAAGAGGGGCCTCTTCCAAGACCCTGTGTGCAAGGAAAACGAGGACTTCAGACTGTGCGAGACTTGCTATAAGAGTTGCGACAACCCTAAGCCGTCGTGCTCTGAGCATTGCGAGAGGGGATGCTTCTGTAAAGACGGCTTGACGAGGAACAGGGATGGGAAATGCGTCAAACCGGAGGAGTGTCCAGCAGACGACGGAAGTAATAATGCGAAACAACATGGTTATTAAAAGACATTGTTCTTCCAAATAAATTAATAAGCTCTTACTGTCAACCCTAACTGGGTAGGCAGGAATGGCTAAGACAGCATGTTCTTTTTTTATGTGAAAATTTGCCAACCGAGCTCATGGGACATCTGCTACACCCTAGGGTTTGTAGATGCATTGACAACCGTTTAAAGTAGGGGTTTCGTCTGGTACAAGTGAGTAAGTGAGGTAACTCGCCAGACGAAACGCGAAAGTATTATACTTTCAGGACGAGTCTGCACATTCGTGCAACAGAAGAAATTACTACGTGGCCCTACCACAGTTAGTACCAGTACATAGAACGACTGCGTGTGATGTTTCCACTTAGACTAGTCAGTATTTTAATAGTTTCCTTGGACTTGCATGATAATAGTAATGTATTTGAACAACGTGTTTACAAAACAGGTAGTACAAGACAACAGACAAGTTAAAGCCTGGCTAACATGCCCTATACACGTTATGTAGATTCAAATTTATTCTTTTTTGAACACTAACGTAGCTAAAATATACAAATAAATTTGTATTATTTATGTATATGAGCTACATATAGAAATAGTAAAAGATATGAATCTAAATCTTAATGGATTAGTACAGCACTTCATACAGTTTAATAAAGGAACCTTATTGAATTTAATCACAAATCATAATCTACCGGATAGCGTTAAACAGCCAGTAAAATTTGTTGCTAAAGATTCACTCAGTGCATATAAAATCGCTTCTATACAAAATAACCAGAAGATGTAAGAAACGATGATGAATATTGGTAAGCCAACTGACAGTCATCAAACTTGCCAATAAATTTTTAGTAATTTTAGATTTTAACTTATGATTTGAGATGTTGCAGACTTGTAATATATATAAATTTTTATAAATTCCGGATCTTAAAATTAGTGGTCACATCACACACACAATCTCTTATTTGCGCTATATTTACATGACAATGGCATTAATATCATGTTTACGTCTCAGTAAATGTCCAAGATGGTTGAGAGCAGTTCTTGCAGTAGAATATGAACAGGGCCGGATTTAGCGGAGGGCAACCGGGGCAACAGACCCGGAGCCTCCACAGATGAGGGGCCCCCACAATAGACTTCGGAAAAAAAAATTCAAATTGTGACTAGTAAACAATAGTAAAAAAATATTCCTTTCATATTTTTTTCGCGTTGTACTTATACCTGCAGTACTTGTACAAACATGATTACATTTAATATTAACAGAAATCAATAGAAAATAATTTGGGGCCAAGGGGCTTCCACTCCTCTGTTCCTCTAAATCTGGCCCTGAATATGAGCCGTAAATAATATTGAGGATAGATAATTCATCCACCAATTAATGACAAGGTCCAGCAGAGTAATATTGAAATAAAATGCTTTAGAAAATGCAGCAATGATTTTGAATCCTTATTTCATTTTCTGGATCAAATACTTACCCAAAATTAACATTTCTTTTTCTTTTTCAATCTTTATTAGTAAATTATCATTTGGCAAATGAAGACCAGAATATTGTTACGATAGTTTGTATATTAACTGTATTCTATGGGAGCCCGATACACGAATGTTCAGTTTCACAGAACTGTTTCCAGTACCGACAGCGTTCGTCGCACACCAGTGTACGTGTCGAATTTGTCCACAGCCGCGCGCAACAAGTCGTGCGGTCCCCACAAGGTCTTCCAGCAGTGCAGGCGCTGCGAGAAGACCTGCAGCGAACGTAGGCCGCTGTGCTCGGGCCCCTGCCGCTCAGGCTGCTTCTGCAAGGACGGTTTCCTCAAGCATCCCAACGGGCAATGCGTCAAACTCCAGGAGTGTCCCAAAGGTGCGGTGGGCTTTCTGAGTAGTCTGAACTCGTTAACGTTACAAATGCTCTGCGATTCATGAAATAGAAGAATGAGTACAATGAAAGAAAAGATGTTGAAGTATGTAGCTATTATGTAGTATATTAATTATACAAACTTCAGGAGTGTCTGTTATTAATTATTAAAGTTTTGCGTGTAGAGAACTCTACTCTACGTAAGATCGCCTTTGTACAGGCTTTTTTTTAATCCTTTACTTATTTGTAAATGTAATTTTTTGTGTACAAAATAAAGAATAAAGAGTAAATAAAGAGTGTAACAAAAGTGCGGGGGTCGTGAAAGCTATGCTGAAAACAAAAATGTTTTAGCATTTATATTAATTATTTATGGTAGGACACTGCATAAAATCGCCATTTGTATAAAAATTAAAATTACACGACGCAATTATACTGTAGAAAAATTATAATTTTTATTTCTTGTTTTATGCAAGTTTGAAGAAAAGGTACATCTAGCTGCAGAGAGTTATATCAAGAACGTATCCTCCTTCTAGCTAAAGTAATTTATAAATGTTCTTAGAACACGAGTTAATGACTGTTTTTGCACACGCTTTATTTTCATAGACTAGTTCTGTTTACAGAATCCGTTTAGTTTTAAAAAAATATAAAATATAACACAATTTCAACTATCCTCTATCTCTTATCTGCACAAATCTGGTATGAATAAAAAATAACTATTTCTTCTTGTTTCATTTCACACATCAAGTTCATATACAAATATTCAGTACTTCAATAGCTATGGTATGTAAATCGTAGTACTTCAATAGGTATCGGGTTGCGGGTTTATAATTAATTCGTATAATTTCAGAGTACAACCTTCAGTGAACAATAGTAATTATTAGTAATTTGATGTTTACTAGTAATTTATGACTCCGTGGCGCAGTTGCCAATGTATTGGCTTCGGTGTCGGGGGTCGTGAGTTCGATCCCCACACGGGACAACTATTTGTGTGACTACCAGATAGTTGTTTCACATCTGGGTGTTTGTCCACGTGAAATTTATGTTTGTAAAACGTCCCTTACAACACAGGATAATGTTATCCTAAAGTAAGGGCTATGTATTTAAAAACAAAAAGAAAAAAACTTTGGTACGCACTGCTTTTTTATTTATTTGCTTCGTTTTTCTTTCAGTTTTAGTTTGTTGAGATGAGACAGTTGCAAATTAAAATGTGAGAGTTGTAACTTATACGTAGGGATGAAATATTTGTATGTGAGGTGATTAGCTTATGTATATACGATAAATTACTCCCAACGGCAGGGCCCGAGTCAAGTTCCGTATCTGGGCGTTTGGTGTTGGTTCCCAAGGAAGGTAGACGTCAGGCAGTCGGCCGGTCGTAAAGAACCTAGCCAAAACCACTTACAACATGATTCACATGCGCCGGGATAAGGGCGTGAGGATGAATATGATGTTTTTAATGAAACAAATACTGGCCGACCTAAAAAGCGTAAATGTGTCGCGAAACAGAGGTGACCATAATCGGTGCACGGGAGCCGTCCGTGGAGGACTGCGGCTCTGACGAGGAGTTCCTCTCGTGCGGCTGGTGCGAGCCCAGCTGCTCGGAGCCTGCGCCCCGCTGCCCAGCGGGGGTGTGCACCAGGGGCTGCCTGTGCCGCCCGCCATTGCTGCGCCACTACAGCGGCCGCTGCGTCCACGAGAGGGCCTGTCTGCCCCGTGAGTACCCTAATACCGCAAGTTCCAGTCTTGCATAAATGGGCTTGTCTACTAAGTTCTATGAGCATGCAAGCGACTCGTGGTATACTTACATACTAAACATTTTTGATACTTCTAGCTCCCTTTGTTAACAAGAAAATTGCAGAAACTTTATCTAAAAATACATGAAAAAAAAAAAGCATAATTCTAAGAAAATTTGTTATGGGTCTATCATATAAGGAAACCGAAAATATTTTATCTATACCTCAATACACACACACACACACACACACACACACACACACACACGCACACACACACACACACACACACACACACGCGCGCGTGTGCGCGCACACTAATCGCATATGGAAACATTTTAGGTTGGGTTCTCACGATACAGGATATGTCTAGTGAGAGGACCACAAGTTACATCTTGTTCTGTTTAGTGCTGCAATCCAAATGTGTCTGTAAATTTGGTAATTGGAAATACTTATATTCAATTATATATTGATACTGTGGACTTTAATAAACTTTATTATTATTATTACTTATGTATATCCCCTGGATGCACTAGTCTTGCGACTGTCTACCTTGTGAGTACTCCTACAACTGAATTTATACGCCTTTTGTAAATAAAGTAAAAGTAAAGTAACAACCTATACATGTCCCACTGTTGGGCAAAGGCCTCCTCTATACAGAGGGAATCAGAGCATAGTCCACCACGCGGCCCCACTGCGGATTGGCGGACTTAACATATCTTCGAAATATATATTTTTTGTTATTATTTCGAAAATATGCAGGTTTTCCTCATGATGTTTTCCTTCCCCGCGGAGCACGTGATAAGTCAGCACTTAAAGTTAAAAACTTCATTGGTGCCGGCACCGGGGATCGGACTCAGGTTGCTCGAGTATATGTTAAATTAAAGGCGAGCGCCCGGACACTGAGCTATCACGGCTTTTGTAAATGTGTTATCGAAAACACATAATAAATCGTTTTTCTAGATTAATGTTCACAATTTGCCGGTCCACCTGATGTAATAACTGCCGTCTATGAACATTTGCAAAACTAGAGTAGGGTTACAGATGCGTTGCTAGTTAATAAATTGTGCCCCGGCTACCTAACTTACCAGACGAAACGCAAAAGCATAAAACTCCACTTCGCGCCGATCTTCTGTGAGGTCGTGATAGTTCCTCAGGCTTGATACGGGCCTCTGCGTTTTTGTAGGGCCGCGCATGTGCCATTGTTTGCGTATTTTAAACGAGAAGAATGGCACTTATCGTCCGTCGTATTTCTGTGCTGACGCGTCGACTGTATCAATCGGTGTTTGGGTAATGGTCGTATGGGTTTCGCCGTGCTCTTAAGCGAGGTCAAACTATTTGGTCGCGTTGACTGTACTTATTGGTTATTTGTACCTGTTCACTTTTGTCGCGTATGCTATCAGTATCTATGTACACTTGTGCACTTATTGGTTATGTTAACCTGTTCACTGGCTGCACGCTACACTTATCACAGAGGCTGACACTGAAGTGTTGTTTCCGCAGAGAGCTGCCCAGATCCGAGCGAGGAGTACGTGTGCCGTTACGGCTGCGAGCCCCGCTGCGACGGCCGCACCTGCGACTCCAGACCGCGGCGGTGCTCGCTCGGCTGCCACTGCCGCCTGGGCCTGAGGAGGCACGCGAGCGGCCGCTGCGTCGCACCGGACCAATGCGCGGCGCCGACCCCTACCCAGCCCCAGTTGCCAGCCATCGACGCTTTGCCCCCACCCGCGATAGACCCCGTGTCGGAGTTCGAAAACGCGAGTCGCGCCACCATCAAGATATGAGTCGTCAGTGTCGACGGATAGATGCGTTGCTCAGGTCGCGATGTTGGGGACAAATATATATTGGTACTTAAGTATCAGCGAAGGGTCCCCCAAGGTACGGCACTGGGGTCACACATTTATTTCTTTAAGCGGATATCTAATTCTTCGAGAGCACTCCGGTGATGACATTTAATTAACTAAATTAGTGATTCTGATTTAATACCGAAACATTGCTGATTTTTTTACAACAAATAACATATTGATAGTGCAAAAACCTGGGTTTACATTCCTGATTTCAATTTCTACAATTTGAATGGCAAAAATAATTTCACTGTAATGATTATTTTGATTTAAATATTTACAACTGTTCTGTACGGTTTACCCTGCACCGTTCATAAATTTCTTGAAAGTAATTGAAATACTGTATAAGAATAGTAAAATAAAACGAACTTATATATACATCAATATATTTTATTTTACATAGGTTGTCTTTAATTCAACGCAACTATTCCGGAGTTCCTCAAAATATAAAAAAGACAAAACAAAAAAATATGACATATGAGATCTTTTACTTACTAAGATAAGAAAAAATTACATATTTTAATTATTGTGGAACTAAGAATTTCTCTTATGATTCATAAAAAAGTTTTAATATTACGCGGTGTAGGGCTTTATTGGTGTTCAACGAACGAGAATATAATAATATAAAGGGGCACCATGTATACAATCATCTCTCATCTCAGTTTAAATAACAAGTTATTTTAAAAGATTCACCGACAGACATAAAGACATGCACACTACAATAACCACATCGATACAGGACTGCAGCTAAGTGCACGATAAACGCAATGACGAATTGAAACAGGTGTACTACGCCCTAAACTAACTTCCAACGTTACTTCCCACTTCGACACCTCAACGTCCCGTCAAAGTGTTTCGCTTCCAACCAATAGAGCCCTTCCCGCCGCACTAAACTGTAACCAATTGACACTAGTATCCACTGAGCCTATAGTAACATCGCACATTGTCAAGTCTTATATTACATTTATTCTCATTTGTTATAATTATACAAGGCATATTCATCAATCCGGCGTCGCGGTCGCAGGCCCACTGTCGTAACGTAAATAAACCTTTCGAGTATTGAAACTCGCATCCGAAACTTCCAGAATGTTCTCATCAAAGCGTCATCCGTACGAGAGGCGCGGGGCTGAACTAACAGGTAACATCGAAGGCCTACGATCGCGACGCCCTGCGGCTCCTTTAAGTATAATCGTCATAAGATCACATTTTTTATAAGGCAAACAACAATCTTTAAAGCTAAACCTTTTGATGGAAGAGGGGGGTGAGGAAGGAGTTGAAGGGAGGGGGGGGGGGGCAAAGACGGGAAACGTTCAAGTGAAAAGACCGGACCCAGGGCGGGGAGTTCCCCGTAAACGGACTGTCTGTTTGGAATGAAGACGTCTAATACTAGAGGCCACAGGAAATGTTCGCACCGATACTCTCCGATACTTTTAGTTGGCCGTAGACGCACGCAACGGTTTGTACTCGACGACGCTAACGAACAAGGAACGCGTTCCGATCGAAACAAACACGAGAACATAGAGAAACGCGTAAACCGAACGGAAAAAGTAAAACCTAATGTTTTTTTTAAATCTTTTACAACAGAAATTGATTTTCGAATTTCGAAAGAAGCGCACACGCGTCTTATATAATAATTAAAATTACAAGCTAATTTATGAGAAACGCGTGTTACGAATTTCATGACACTTGTTACATTAATAAATAATTTTTTTTTTCAAAAGATGGAAGCTTTCGTGTGACTGGACAGCCTTAACCAAAAAAAAACTTACTATACAAAGCCTAAACGAACCCAATGAAGACATTTCAATAGTAGAGAGCGCGGCAGAGGTCAACTTTCGGCCAAAAAATTTACATTTTTTTCTGATAACCAGTGACGAAATTGAATTTTTCTGTTAAGATGGAAAAGGACGGCTTCAAGTTTAAAACAAAACAAATGAATCCCCGAGGCGCGCTCTATCATTGAAAAAGTTAATCGTTCTCGTCAAACATCATTTTTTTTTTTGTAATTTTTCTCTCAATTTATATCGCAACTTCTCAATCGCATTCCGACGACTCTATGACGCTCCTAGCCTAGCCTAAACCTAACTTACATAACCTTTCCGTATTTAAAATCTTAAGCCCATTGAAATTGCCAAACAGTTCTTCAATGTACCGAGGCGACGTGCGAGTGTTGCACGCGTGCCAACTCTTTTTTTAAAGTATTTAATGGACGTTTATAAGTGCGGGAAGCACCGGTTGAACGGATCCGACTGTTGCCAACATGCTACTCCTAAGAACGACGAATTGTCCGTTGAACTTGTCATCCCATCGAGATTGCTTCCACGCGAAATATTCAACATCACTTGCGCAATGCCTCGATTTATACCCGATTCCTATATTCAACGAACAGCCGTTAGTTACATGGCTTCGTAACTTTCATAACGACTCGTAGATAACAGGCGTGTACGCCCGATTCCTTTATTAACAAAACGAGGCGTTTTCCATACGAGCCGTCGCATTACCTACGGAAAGCGAGTTACTAGCGTTCCTTTAATCTACAAGCGTTATGAAAGTTACGAATCTATTAACTAACGGCCGTTCGTTGAATATAAGAACCGGGCATTAAGCTATCTCCTTTACGTTCCGCTACTACGGAAAAGAGCCTACGAGTACGTCAAATCTCCGAAACCCAATACTCAGCCAACTCGGCAACTTCTTTATTTTTACTGTGCACCAAAGTTGCGAATAGGCTTGGACAACCGTTGGCATTTATTCCACTCTTCAAGTAAACCTTGTTCTAATCGCGGCCATATATTATATAATTCAATGGAGTCTCCAATGGTGCTTGATCCATCACATACTCTGATGTTATGATCCTTCGCATACGACGTCATAGGTACCAATCAATTCAATCACGACAAACTACACTTCTAAATATTTGGCAAGGAATCAAAATATCAGTAGCATTAACTATAAATTTAGATCCGTAATCAGCCCAAAAATAATAGAATATTAACGAAAACATGGCGTTTGGACACCGACAAGTAGTTTCCTTGTAATCTTCAGCACATAATGACTGTCCGAAATATTCGAAATAATGTTAACAGAACCCACCCGTTGCATGGAACGTGTCATACATATCAACACAAAAGCGAAATACATTTTTGTACTTTTAAAACCGCCCAATATTACTTGATGTATTGCAATACATAAACATAATAAATTTAGACACGTGTAGTGGACTTTAATTTTGTTCAATGGTAGAACATAGAAAATTAATATATATTAGTAACACGCGGTTTGAGAGATGACCTTTGACTGCTCAGATTTAAAGAAAATTGTTGCTGTTGAAATACTTGATGACCGACACATCTGTAGCGGACGTTTTGCGTGTTTTATGACATAATGGCGATGGTGATGAAGTGAATATGGGGGTGATGATATCAAGAATTATAACGATAATGGCGATGAGAGTGATGATGGTGCAAACCGTCGCCTGTCAGAAGTACCTGGCCATCAAGATGATTTTAGTTTCCTTGCAACAGTGTACATTTATCGATGAAGCAGTCAAGTCAAAGATTTTTTGACATAAGCACAAATCTGATCGTTGAGGACCGGCGACAGTTAAAAAAGGAATAAAGGAAATAAAAACAAATTAAGATGATATCACAAAACAAGAACGGATTAAATCAAGCATTACCAAAGATGAAATAAAAATAATTATATAAAATAAACACATTCCCAACGTGGTTTACGTAGAAAAAAAAACCTTTACAATGTATTTGGAGCATTCAATCAAGCCGTTGTGTAAAATAAGTCATGCTCAATCGATGATATTTTAAATTGTACCTTAAGCTAGCAAATAATTTCAAAGCATATTTAGTAATCGAAATAAAAATCATTAAATGATCCTTTCGGATGCGGTTCAAGTGTTTTCGGTTTTTTTTTCATGCATGTAAAGTCCAATACGAAACAATCTGAAATATTCTTATGCGAATTAGAACTATGTGAAACTAGCGATGCCTGCGCAAACAATTTCGCAGAACACTTTCGTACATTGTGACGGTCTTTAAAAACTACAAGATAAAATCACCGTCCGCCTTTGGACTAAGTCGTAAAAATCCGGGCCGCATGCGTTTTTCATAAATTAATAAAAACATATATCAACATCCATGTAAAATGAAGTAACAATAAGTATTTCGAACCAATAAAGTAGATAAACAATGTGTAAGTCGGAAATGTTTTAATAACTTGCAGTTGCTTTATTCTAGAACGCGACGAACGGAAATGGCGCCAAATTTGACAGCTGTATACGTCAAAAATGACAACGTTCGACTAAAGACTACTTATGGGCAGAATCGTCGATTTGTTTATCGATGGAGGTTTTATACTAAAATTGGACTATTGTGGCTTGCTACAGGGCCATTTATCTTGCTATTGCGTGTGTACGACGAAATAGGCCCGCAGTGGAATCGATCCGCCCCGCCGGCCGGCATACAATCCGTTAACCATTGGACAGATTAGAAATAAAATCTATTTACCTAAAAAAAAGAAATTAGCATACACATACGTACAGTGAAACGAGTTCCCGAACGGGGAGCGCGAAAACGAATTGAAAAAAAAAATATCACACGAAACTGTGAGAATAAATAAACGATCTCCGCGGTGGTGGAAATCAAACATATAATGTTATTCCCTTTCTCTCTTTTTTTTGGTTGGATAAATGTGTGAAGCGATTGTTTTGTACTATATTCGCTTGCATGCTTCAACATAGACCACTAGAAGTAATTGGACGGGAGCTCAGGGTCGTTTGCGTGCGAGTGCAGCGAGACACGCACATCGTGCCGTCTCTTTCTGACGGAAACCGTAACAACAAACTCCAAGAGATGGTCGGTAATCACAGTAACAACGATAGAAAGAGACAGCACGATAGTTCTCCGCTCTTTTTTGCTGCTCATCTTACACCAGATGTCTTTATGAACCATAAAGGTATTGAAGAGAAACAAATGTCATGTACTCCCTATTTATTGAACGTTACAAAAAAGAGACGAGAGCTAGCGTATAGTATTGAGAAAGAGACAGCAGGTCCTGCTATCCTCTTTCCGCCGACACTTCGAAAGTTCGGGGTCACGCTTAGTGGTGTATGCAGCGAAGGAACATGCAATATCATGAAATGGTTGCCTTTTCATAAGGGCTTACGAAGGTGAATTACATATAGGGTGTTGTTCACAACGGAGGGATGTTGCAGTAGAAACTTGCGTGCGGAGCACCTAGGAAACGTTAGTGACTTGCGGAAAGCACGCAGTCCTCTTCCGGCGAACGACCCAATCGGGTTTGAACGCGGGACGTTTATGTCTCAACGTGAACATAATGAATACATTAGATCTCTGTGCATCCCGTCAACATTTAAGTCCCGAGATGTAATATGGCAACGGTACAACCGATTTCAAAGCTGAATTCGTATGAACGGTTCAAACCCGATTTGGCGTGGACACCGTTCCCGGCGGGAGTACGGCTGTAGATAAGGTTCAATTTACTTTGTTCATTTGACAACATTTTACATGCGGACTGTACTTATTTAACTTTCTATCAATTGATTAGCGTTATGCAGTTGAATGGAAAAATAATGTTAAATTTAAAATTTCTTCTTCAACTCCTTAATTTGTAAAGTGCAGTCTAGGACATTTTTTTTTTGATAAGATTCCACTTTAGAAACAAACTAATTTAATGCCAACTGAGGGTCAATGAACGAATATGAGAGCGGCTTTTTGTTAAATTAAAATGCATGAAATTCATTCCCATTTGAAAATACAAAAATGTTATTTAGGGTTATAAAATTTTAAATTACTTGTGGGAGTGAGATATTTTATTTATTTTGAGTATATGGACTTTCCTTGCATTTTTTACAACGACATATATACACGTAAGACGTTAAATAAGAACAGCCCTAAACGTTTTCGTGTCTCGCTCCAACTAGCGTCCAACGAACCTTCACAAACACAAACAACAGACCGACCGTCTTCCTTAAAACAACACCATCCAATTGCCGAATGACATTAGTAAAACAACAAACATAGTCCGAGTTCGACATCAACTGGCCTTTAGTTACCTATAACAAAATTAGGGCGGCTCGGGGCGAATCTCGAAACACATTTTCGACGGCAAATCTAGTGTTGGGTTGAAAATAGAAAGTTTCGGAGCTCATATACGTTTATTGAAGAACTTGTCTTGAGTTGTGTACGAAAATAAGTTTCGAACCCGCCGACCGCCATAAATAAAGGGGATATGAATTATTTCTTAACTCCCTTCCGCTCGGAGCAATCGGCGATTGAAAATTTGCCTTATTCGACCTTCAATACGCACAAATTGCACCATTAAGTGGTTTCAACATAATTTGATGGGACACCATTTACAAACGCGAACAAAACTTTTCGGCTCTTTTATGTTTTACAAAAATTTCTACGTTCCGTGTTTCTTATCCAATTAATATTACGGACTTACGTATTACGGTGTTATTATGACATTTCGATATATACAATTTCGCCTTAACACGTTTAAATTCCAAATAATCGAGTTGACGAAACCGAAAAGGAAAATCAGGCAGCACAACCAATTTTGAACCTTAACGACGTAAAAAGACGCTCCTAACAAAACGAAAACCGTTTGCTCCGAGTGAGGGGGGGGGGGGGGGCGTAAAAATATCGCAATAGAAACAATTCAATGTACTTATCAGTCGTAAGATCTAAGTAATTACAAGTTACAGATTAGAGCATACGTTGTGACCACACTCTAACAGGACAGTCTGAGGCGCTCTCTAGAGCCATCGCCGCTACCAAAATACTGTTGCTCTACATTTATTGTATACACCGTAAAAACATTAACATAAAGTCCAGTTACAATTCTAAATCTGTTTTCGACGAACATTAAAATAAGCCGTTTAAAGGTAGTACAGGCAAAATCATAAATTCTTCAGGCAAAATCTGCTTTGGGGCGACCACAAATTGGTTGGTTGACGGACAATTTTTAATAACAGCAGAAACACATACATCGGACAGTGTCATATAATTATCATTAGTAAAAGCAAACAGTGATTGGGAGCGACGACGAAAGAGATCACCCGCTACATTACTCTCAATAAAAACGTCCATACAGCACTTCATATTATCACATTTCCTTTTTTTCATGAAAAACAAAAACAAAGATCAATCGTCGACTCTCCTTCCAACAACAGGGCAATGGCACAACCCGCGTTATTATCTCTTAATATTCGTATATCTACACATTTTAGACACACATAGAACACTACTAGTCTGTAAAGTCACTACGGTAAAGGCTCCGGGGGAAAGTAGTCTTTGCGGCACCGTGTTAGAGTTCAATTTGGAGCCTTTGCCGTTCAGTGGAGGGGAGTAAGGGGGTGCTTTCTATATAGAAGTCGCGAACCCAACGCCCCCACGTGCCGCCCACTCACAAGTAAGTGGATTCACCTGAAAAATGCAAGAAACCCATATAAGCTCCGCGGAAGGGTGGTGTGCCACAAACAGATGTGGTTTGTTTGAGTTTCCATTTACATTATTATCTAATATCAATCTCATCTATATAATGCTTTAATGCTTTTGTGCATGGTGAAGAAAATAAAAACTCAAACAAACCAAAGTCGGTTATAAATCACTTTTAAACGCCCGTATCGTTTTCTAAAGACCGAAAATACCAACCAAATATAAACATCTTATCTAAAAAAAGATTAAACTAAAATGTCTACTATCAAAATAACTAGGTTCGTCAGGCAAAAGTTACAAATAAAACGACAAAACTTTTTCAACAGTGCTTAATCTATAAATTCATGAAAATATTCTTATAGTTCGTGGAAAGAAATTTTCTTTTGCACGGAACGTTCTAGAATAGATAACAACTAGATACGCCTAAAAATAGTTAAGGCACTATAGAGGCGTTTAAAAACATCTGTATGCGGCATGTATAGGGCGGTGTTGCAAAAGCGGACAATGTACTGAAGATGAACTCTGTTAGCTATATACATGGATGGGGGGTTTTGTCCGTCGGTGGGGTTATATGAAAATCTGCAGAGATCCCAAACAATGTCCTTTTCCAAATAGAAACATCATTGATAATTGAAATCTCACATCTCTTTGAGGACAATGCAAAATTAACAAGCTTAGTATAGGCTGTATTGCAGTTGCAAATTGTTTTAATTTCCATAAAGCTTAGTGAAAATATAAACCGTTCCGACGTTCAAAACAGGAAAACAAAAAAAAACAAGGAATTATACGGCAATATTTACAAATAACACACAAATTCGTAAGAACACATACAATTGAAATATTTACATGATCACTCCACTCATAACAATATTATGAACAGAAAATAAATTAATTATAAATACACATTACATACTAATAACACATTTAGAAACTCAATTAAATCATTTATACACTGTTTACATTTTAGACATTAATTTTCCGTTCATCTTTTATTGGGAATGGAACAAATTAAATACAAAAATCGTTCCAAAACATTCTATTTTTTAATAAAAACGAACATGCACAAGGGGAATATGGCTGCAAAGAAAAAACGGAACCGGCAAAAATAAGCAAAAAAAAAAAAAAAACACAAAACAGAGAAGAGTCACACAGATTAGTATGTACGATGCGTTTTCGACCTTACGGATATAGAGTTAAGGTGCAAGTCCTATCGGGCGATGTGGGGCCAAGCGGTGAAACGGGAGATGACAAAGTATTAAGCGAAACGTGATCCGAGAGTCGTGTAACAATCGCGAGACAGTATGTGATTGTATGATTTATTGTATAACTTTATTTGTATTTTCTATGAACAAGACAGAATAAAAAAACATGCAAAACAATTATTTTGATTGCTAAGTTATAAGTTTTCTTTATTTACATGCAGTCGCATACTGTGACATAAGTGTGTATAATGTTCAACTATGACTGAGTAATGATTATTCTTCTTTTTTCTTGCCGGATGGATGCCGGAGTTGATGTGTAGTAGTGGGGTTTTGAATGTTTTGCTATCTCGTATATTATACATAATAAGTAAATTAAAAAAATAATTAAACTATCTTTTTTCCAATCAAGTAATATGAAACAATTGGAATAAGTAAAGCTGAGCGTTTTTCCCGAGCTTTATAAAATGCCAGAATATGCGTAAAGCAAAACACTATGTGAAATTTGGCATTAATAATGGTTCTTCATTCCTTTGACATCTAAAAAAAACAGTATTTGGATAGAAATTAGCACCTTGACTTATCTTTAATAATAATAATAATAATAATAATAAATATTTGGGACACATTCGTACACAACATTTTCTAGTCCCAAACTAAGCAAAGCTTGTACTATGGGTACTAGAAAACTGATAAACATACTTAAACATACTTTTCTTTTGTAAATAAATACATATTATACATATAGAAACACCCAGACACTAGAAAAACACCATGTTCATCACACAATATTTTTCCAGTAGTGGGGATCGAACCCACAATGTGTTTAATGTTTAAAAGAGTTATTTATTAACGGGGAATTTGTAAGTTAGTGTATATATGTAAACTTATTTCCCTGATCCAAAAAAAAAGGTGTAAGAGAAAAAGTGTGTGAGTGTGCGCGTGTGTATCTGTTTGTTCGCGTATGTTTGTGTGCGTGTGCGCATATTTACGTGTGTGGCGCGTCGTCGGGAGACAGCTGGCGGTAGCGGCCCACGCGCTCGCACACCGGCCCTGCCACCACCAATCGGTTACTACCCCACGCTGCGCCGACTCCGCAAGCCCTACCGACCCTACGGGCTCTCTATTGGCTCGACTGGCTCTGTTGGCTCCGCTGGCTCTATTGGTTCGACTGGCTCTATTGGCTCGACTGGCTCTATTGGCTTGACTTGTTCTATTGGCTCAGTGGGGATCATTTGTTTTTCTCCCGAAATAGTATTTCAATTTCTCATCGAATTGTTAACTTTAGAACAAAGAGAACGTTGTCTAAAAATGTGCCCTAAACATTAATAATTCATAATTCTTAGAGATAACATACTGGTCAAATTTTCATTGTTTATTGTATTTGTTTATACAATTTTTTTTAGCACCTAATCAATTTCTTTTTATTATTTTTCATTCAGTTTTCTTCATAAAATTTTTCTATACTAGCATCAAATCAATTTGTTTTTATTAATTTTCGATCTGTGAACTAAAATTCCCATACGCCAGCCAGTAGCCTCGGAAATAAGTTCGACAGTGGACTCTTGATTGCTTTAAAGTTCGAAAATAATTAATGGTTTATGGAAATATTTTGATATTAATCATGATTTTGAATATAACGAACGAGATAAAGGGACAATCGTTGTAATATGGAAATAAAATTTCAAAAAAGTTATATCATACCGCTTTGAACGCGTCGAGTACAAAATAACAAAATACCGAACGTGCAATTATGATCGCATTTTATATTCCTAGTCAATTTTCACGAAGGCTCGGAGAGATTTCAGTATATAGACATTCGCTTTTCTTACACTCTCTTTCTATACAATATATAATCTACAATACTTCCCCTTCCAGACACCTACTTCTTCTACTTCTACTACCCAGACACACACACACATAATGTCAGCACTACAGACATAGTAAAGTTACACAATTAGTCTTTAAAATATTATAACTGCTTTCACAATACATTTAACATCACAAGCGACAGTTTCAAATCCGACAAAATATTGTAAATTTTATATGAAACAATATTGTAACAAAAATGGTCGATCTCGGCCATAACATTGAGGGTGGTGTGCTTTGAGCAAAATTTATTACGGCAAAAATGTTTAGTACTAATATAAGAGTTAGAGTTAGAGGCAAGTTTTCATCAGGAATTATACTAATAGAACATCCTTCATAAACTCTTAAGTTACTTGCATGACCCATGAGTCCTTATATTAAGATAGACATCAGTGAGGATGTTCAATCTTTTCAAACAAAATTTATGCCTGATTCACTTTTTACATCCTTTATGTTCTCATTTCATCTTATTTTAAACAACACACCATTTCTGTCAAAAGAAATTTTGATGGCTCCTCGTTATCCTCATTAAATCACTTCCATAATTTTCTCATTTATTCTAAACAATCCTTTCACATCTCTTTCTCTATTCTTTCACTTTCCATCTGCTAATCGACATAGCTCCAGTTAGTATAAGAAATTTAAATTCAAACAAAGATCACAGAACGGAGCATCGAAGAATAGCTCTGTGATTGAACGATTCTTTGACCAAACACAAATCCAATAGATACCTAAGGAACGGTCAAACTTGACTCGTCTAGAGCGGTCCGAACAATCCGAACGCACGCAGACGCAACGGTCGCCGTGTTGGGGGCGTGCGACAGAGACAGCATGCGAGCTATCGGTCGCACGTCAGAGCGTGTGGTTGGCGCGAGAGGGAGAGCGAGTGAGGAGCGGCGTCTCACCGGAGTCCCAGTGCGCGTCGGGCTCCGTGTCGGGCTCGGAGCACGAGGAGGCGGAGGAGGAGGGCGGCGAGGGCGGCGAGGGCGGCGACGGGGCGCGGCCCCCCGCGCCCGGCCCGCTGAACGTCGACGAGGACGGCTGCTTCTGCACGATCAGCTCCACCTGCGCACGACCGCACCGATCTTACACACCGCCTCTCCGGCCTCTTGCCGCCTCTCCCGCCTCTGAGGCCTCTTACCGCCTCTGAGGCGTCGGACGCCGTATCTCCGAGCACTCTTACGACCTCTTATGAATTTTGCGTGTAAATTGGTCTAGTCTGCTAGTGAAGCTTTACCAACTAAAAGACGTGAAACATTGAGAGGTCCTTCGTTGATAGATCGATGCCCTAACCGTTGTACACCCAAATGACACGTAAAACACAATAAATAGACCGACGTGAAGTGGGAGTTTTACACTTCTGCGCTTCGCCTGGTGAGAGAGGTTGCCATTGTATTATGTATTGTATTATGAGGTAACAACGCATCTTAATCCGGGCGACGGTTCTCATTTAACATCAGGTGAACCGCCAGCTCAATTGCCACCTTCTCTTTTCTGTGCAAAAATTTAAAACAACCATCCGAAAGACACCATTTCTATACTCTACAGTGACTCCAAAGTACAGCCACAATGACAATTTTTGTAATAGTAAGTGAAATTCCTCAAACTGACCTTGAAATCGGGACTGTAGAGTTTGTGTTGCTTGTCCTTGTGCGCATCGTCCAGCTGCCACTTGTTCAGCGTGAGCTTAAACGTTTCCAAGTTTGGACCTGTAAACGACAAATCGATCTTGTACGCCCGAGCGCAATACGTTGTGGGTGAACCGCAATTCAATACAAAATAACAAAATAAAAATGTTTGTTTTATGTGTAAGATTGTGCAATAGGTAAATCGTCAATTCTCTATATGGTATAAAAAATAAAATTCTCGCAGACAAGTGAAGCAATGAGGTGAAGGCCTTTGCCCAACGAACTGAGCTCAGCTACGGATAAGAGAGAGCGAGCGAAGGAAGGAGCGGGGCACTGACTGTCGTCGGGCGGCGGCACGCGCACCGCGCCGACGGCGGCCGCCACGAAGAAGGTGTTGAACCAGAAGTGGAAGAGCTTGTCGCGGCGCATCATCTTCGGCTTGCAGTGCAGGTCGAGGCGCACGTCGCCCCGCAGCGGCGTGCACTGCGCCACGTGCACGCGCACGCACGCCGCCGCCTTGCGCACCTCCTGGCTGCCCAGCGCCGTCTGCAACGGACACCTCTACATGTTGTATCGAAAGGGGGCAACGGTCGAGTTTCTTGCCGGTCTCTCTCTTCTCAGGTCGGCGCGGCCTTCTTTTCGAACCGGTGGTAGCTTACTTACGAACTTATGTATTAATTTTCATGTAAAACTCGACGTTTCATAAGTTATATTTCAATTTTTTTTTCTTTTTTTTAATAAATATTTTAGAACACATTTTTACATAACATTCTCTAGTCGCAAAATAAGCAACGCTTGTACTATGGGTACGAGAAAACTGATAGACATACTTAAACATACCTTTTTTTTGTAAATAAATACACATTATACATATATAAACACCACTACATATATAAAGACACTACAAAAACACTATGCTCACTACACAATATTTTTCCAGTAGTGGGGATCGAACCCACTCTTTGTGCACAGAAGGCAGGTACACTACCGACTACGCCATTCGGGTCGTCATTTTAATTAAGATATGTTTATTTTATATTATTATATTTGGTGGGCGCATAAAGCGTGCTAAGATAACGTAACATACAAGCGGGCAGCTTGTATATTTCGCATTTTCATCATTTTAGCCCGTTTGAGTCCACTGCTGAACATAGTCCTCCCCCCACAGACCGCCACATAGCACGATCCGGAGCCACCTGCATCCATCAAATTTCCCGCAAATTTGCACAAGTCGTCACCCCGTCAAGTGGCACGTCGTCTTACACGGCACGCTAGCGCGCTCTAAGCATGCAACTCAGCTGGCAGCTTGCAATAATTGTTGTATCATCCGTCTCGAAGGACCAAATTGGAGCGGGTGGTCCTACACTGCAATGGTACATTTGGCGCGCTCTGGGCACGTAACAGAGCAGGCGGTTTGCAGTAATTGTCGTTCTTTCATCCATCTCGAAGGACCAAGATTCAAACTAGACGCAAATAAATCTGCAATGGTGCACATGAGTAAGGCCATGTGATATAGAGCTGATGATACCTTGAACGGCGGGTCCAGCTGTGTGGCGGTGAGCTCTAGGGTGCACTGGGCGCCGTTGAGCGCGGGCGGCGGGCTCAACAGCAGCTCGCGCACGTGCAGCTTGGTCGCCGTATACTGGAGCCCGGAGCGCACCATCGCCGCGTAGTACTCCACGTAGCGCCTCTGCGATGGGATCGTGACTCCTGCGAAGGTCGTAACTCTACTATTAACACCACAGACGAGTGATATGTTTTCTACCCCTTCAATCATACATACATATATAATATTTGCACGCTCTAAATCCAACTTTAACAACCAAATAGTTTCAACTTTGGATAAGTTAAACTTTAATTTTTAAATAATAATGTATTTTTGAAGCGTTTTTTTTTTTTAATCTTTTCGTCACATTTATTAATTTAATAAATTATTTGTATTTATCAATTTTAACGTTGCTAATGATAACGGTTTCAGTTAATATAATATGTTCAATACGTGGATAATTTTTTTTTATATTGTAGCTGTTTATTTCATATATTGTAGCTCTTTGTTATCCCTAATTATATAAAAAATCAGCTAGATAACACCAAACTAATTACATTAGTTCGGTGTTCTCTAACTAATAGTTAGTCTAATTAAAAATATAAAAACTTATAGTAAGTTTATATACAAAATTCGATGTCACTAGAAAAATACACATGTCACTTATTTGTTCGATTTTAAAAGACGAAACCGTTTTGCTCAGTGTTCGTGTCCGATGGTCGTGCACCTCTGTACTAAACAGGCAGTGCCAACAATACGACGACATTATTTATCATGCTTACCTTTCTCATCGTAGGTACGCGCCGTGCCGTAGAACTTGAGCGCCTCGTCGGCCGTCTGCTTCTGACCGCTGTAAAGCAGGTAGCAGCAAACCATTGTGCCTGGAACGTCAACAAAGATAATTTCAATGCCTAGCATCGACACAGATTTTTTTTAATAAACGGTGATCGGCAGATAAGCTCACGAATTCGAAAATACCATGACGTAACTGACGTGCTTTAAGACTCAACGTGTAAATATTTCACTTTTTTATGTAGTTACATATAAAACCGTGCGTGAGAAAGAATTAAGTTACCATAGGCTTGTTAACTTGTAAAATAAGACCATTGATCACTCTGTGGCACAGTTGCTTAGCAATCGGCTTCGACGCCGCGGGTCGTTGGTGCGATTCTCACACGGTGCAAGTGCTTGTGTGACTCACTTAAAACTGTTGGGAATCTGCGTTTTATTTCTAGACTTGAAGACCTAGCCATTAACATTGATTCACGTGTTGTGCCGACCCCACCTAGTTGGATTAAAGGCAGCTGAATGAAGAAGAGTAAAATAAGACCATGATCGAGCGTAAAGTAAAAGCCAAATATTACATATAGTATAATGTTTATAATTTAATTGTCAATAGTAGCCGTGATAGGTTAGTGTCCTAGATGCTTTTGAGTCTCATATACTCGAGCAACCCGAGTTCAAATCCGAGTGCCAGCACCAATAAAATTGTTAAATTTATATGCTGAATTATCACGTGCTAAGCGGTGAAGAAAACCAGCATATTTTCAAAATAAACAAAAAAGGAAAATATTTCTCCAAGTTATGTGAAGTCCAACCAATCCGCATTGGCGTCGCGTGGTGGAGTATGCCCTAATAGGTACCCTCCGTGCAGAGGAGGCCTTTGGCCAGCAATGGGTCTGTTATTAAACTCGTACTGAGTTAAAAGTAAAAAAAAAGGCTAGTTAAACCAGTATCATATTAAACTTATTCTACTTACGGCTTAGCTTGTACATAAAAACGTCTAAACAATTTTAATATTTCGTGTGCCAATTTATCTTAATGAGAATTCAATGAATTTTTATTGCGTTCACTGTCATTAACAATAATTTATGATTTACAACGAATATTAAATATATTGACTATGCATTTGTTAAGGCAACATATATTATTAAAAAGGAGATGTTTAACATAAAAACGCTATAAAAATCTACAGGAAAATGGTTTTTATATGAAGGCGATAGAGGTTACTTAATTATAAATAGTAACATGATATTGGATTTCACGCTGAAATTTATGTGATTAAATCTTTCAAACTAGCAAATTCTTGTGGTTTTCTTCGTGCTTATTTCACGTTTACGTGTCATAAGCTTTAAATATACGACGAATTAAAAATTTTGGTGGACGCCATACGAAATTCTGACCATCGCAGTTTATGAAGTAATACAAGGTAATAAAAAAAAATTAATGAATTAAGGCTTGATTGAGGCGAAACCTTAAAACATTGATATGTGATAAAATTATGGCCCGCAAACAGATAATACGGCCAGACACTGCGATGATTTTAACCCTACACCTAAAAAGGCTTTTGTTTAATCTTATACAATGAAATAGGAATAAAATAAAGAATAGAAGAGTAGAAATGCAAGTACAAATCAAACGTAATGTGCACACATCTTGGTCCATGTTAACAGTACGACAGGCCACACCAATTAAGGTTGCATTGGTTATTTTAAAACCACCATCTCTGTGTGAAAAGTGGCCGTTGTCGTAATTGGAATTAAACTGACATAACAAAACACACATTTTACGTCGTACAGCCATTGGTCTAATTTCGACCAAATACGATGTACCTATATTTATTTAAACTGTGTACAGAGGCGGACCTAATGTGAACTTAACATTGTATAAAACAATACAAATGAAAAGGGTGGTACCGTCTATTAAAGGTCGTTTATTTTATGTGCGAAGGTGGCAAACGAGCTAGCGGTTCACCTGATGTAAAGTGATAACCGCCGCCCATTGCCATTTGCCACACCCGTAGGGTTGCAGAAGCGTTGCCACCTTTAAATAAAGTGGGTCCCGGCTACCGCACTCACCAGACGAAGCGCGGAAGTGTAACACTTCTACTTTACGCCGGTCTTCTGTGAGATCGTGGTACTCAACCGGACGGACCTGCCAATTCGTGCACACAAATAAAAACATACTTCATCTATATAAACTGACGAAAGATCCGTAACGAACAGACAGGTTTTATTTTAATTAATGTGTAATAAACAGTGGACTGATGAACTTCTTAACGGCAATAATTCGTCGATTGTCATGAGGAAATTCATTTGCATACATTATGATTTTACGATCACTTATGTAAGACGAAGTATCGCGTGTTTTTTTAAAATTCTTGCGGAATTTTTTTTGGCCATGAAATCCGCTAAAACGCACGCTTAGCGAAATGTAAGAATGTAAACATCAAACACTGCTCACAGCCTCTCAATGCCTAATCTCAAACTGCTGGGCCGGTGCCCGCGATGTGACCTCACTGACGTTCGTTCCCCTCCAGTTCGAGCCCGTCGTAAATTACTAATCATCGAAGTGAAATTTATAAAAATACCGTTTTTCGCTGTTATATGATAAACAAATAAAAAAAAAGAAACATTATTGATAGTATTTGTTGTAGAAGTCATTGGCAATAGCTTGTCATGTACCGACAAAATAGAGATTTATCGGAACGTCTAAGAAATACTGACCTTTGTCGCCCGCCCTGCGGAGTTAAGATATAGGGCGTGAAAAGGCAAGCCAAGATAGGAATACTATCTTGACTTGCTCTTCTAATTCTATTATGTAATGTTTTTGCTAGCTAGTTAGTCCGTAAGAATGTTAAAGCTACATCGAACGCAGAAGCCGCGTGCCAGCCAGAATCGAATTTGAAACTTAAGTCTGCGACAACGGGAATGTTTTTCAAGCTTCTTTTGCCCTAAAAAGCGTTCAACTCGTATCGTGTTTCCGTACTGGACCTGTTGGTGTTTTTTTTACCGCCCCTTTCGACCGCAACAAGAGAGACGGTTCGAAAAGGTATCCCTTTTTCTTTTACGCGGTCGGCATCCACCTCGGGCCGCGCTCATAGTTGCGCCGGCCAATTATGTGATTTTTTTTACACAGAACCCGGCAAATTATGGAGCGGTTCACCTGATGGTATGCGACCACCGTGCCAATACGGGCCCTACCTACTACTAGGGCTGTACCTAGTTTTCGGACTCGACGAGACGAAACATATTGTTTCGCAAGTAGACTCGCTAAACGAAGGTAATTTGGTCGGGTGTTTCGTTAACGGGGAATTATCTATCGCGTATTGGTGTACGCTTTTAGGCCGACGTCAGTAGTTGTGTAACAATTACTACTATAGTTATAAATTATTGAAAACGAATCCAGTATGACAGTACTCAACTACTTTTTATGGATGTTATGAATATAATGACATTTTTCGATTAAAGTTATAGACACTTCGAGACATCCGAATAACCAATATCTATGTACATTTTAAAACCAATACATTTACCAAAAGTAACATAAATAAAGGTGAATCGATGACTCCGTGGCGCAGTTGCCAATGTATAGGCTTCGGTGTCGGGGGTCGTGGGTTCGATTCCCACACGGGACAACTATTTGTGTGACCCACAGATAGTTGTTTCGCATCTGGGTGTTTGTCAATAAAAAAGGCGTATTTTAACAAATTAACATAATATTAACAGTGCTCCGTGCTCGACTTCTATCACGTCTGACGGAAGGTGGCGAACTAAGGTCGCCAGTGGTCCGGACCAATACAAATTAGGGACCTTGCGACCTGTGTGGTGTAGCGAGCGTTCATGGATGGATCGCCTATCGCTAGCCACGAGGCGAGCCGCATTCTCGTTAGCCACCTACTCTCGCTTAAGTTAAGAAACGCTTATCCGCCTCGTTGTAAATACAGCCACGTTAAAATGAAAATGAATGATAGTGACAATTTATTTATTTTTTACAGCACTAACAATACAGACCATTTATAATTAATTAAGATAAGTTACAATTAGACAATATGGACTACACTTTGGCTTCCATACTATGCAGTGCCTGTAACTTGGAGGCAGAAATGTTGAATACTTTCAATATACGCATGACTCGAGACGATGTAAATCTCGCAGCAGAAAGATGAAGGAAGATCCCTTCGGAATTCTGGAGAGGCATGTGACCAATCGTTCGGCCTGTTTTTATCGATGCAAGGTTTGGCATTTTGCCAACATAGAACGCGAGATATGAAAGATGTGTAATTGTTTTTTATTTAGTAAAATAAAAAATATTTTACACGTTTTCCTGACTTAGTGCTAGTTGATATTATAGCTTAATACCTATATTAGAAGTAAGGCCCTTGGTAGTTGGAGCGATTAAGATAACGGTTTACATCCTATGACATAACAATAAAATTACAAAACGCTGCAAAATTATCGAATGTAAAATGTATAAAATGTCAAGTAGTTTATTTTATTTTATCTATATCTTACTTTTAAGATTGAAAAGTAACTTCAGCTGTAGGTATAGCCATTACTTGCCCCAAGTGGGATCGAACCAACGACCCGCCGCGGTGAAGCCCATACAACATTATTGACAACATTCACTAACTGAGTAACCGATTATCTCAAGTAATGAAATCAAAGTTATAACTAATGGCAGTGTCCATTCTCCGATCTCCGTTAGTAAGCGGCGTTTTGACGAAAGGTACTGAAGTTATGAAAACGGCCGTAGGCAACAAACTGGTCACATATCCATAGCGCTCCCGAGACGATTGTACGAACGTGACGAACAATTTGACACATACGGCACGGGTATCTGAGACGGGATCGTGACGTCTCACAAAATACTCTATTCTCTATAAGAGGTCGTAAAGGTAACACGCGGAACCATCACAATATGTATCCCCGGCCGCCGCACGTGTACGCCGCGTACAATTGTTGCGGTTATCTGATCTCTGCCGGGCATAGATCGCGGTATAACAACGAAACAGTTGCTACGGGCAACCGAAAGGATTCCTTACAACACGTTACGTTGTTTGCTGCCGATCGATCGCGGAAACGTTCGTGGAAATTTCGAGAAAACTAATTTTCCGACTTGCCGCTCCATTACTGGGTCAGCGATGAAATCCGTTAGGATTCCGGAGTTAATGGCCGAATTGAACGTAGGCGGAGGTTCCCTACCTGATTGCGTGGCGGTTTAAAAGATATGGTTATCTCGAACTGTGTTGTAATCGTGATTATAGCTATTTGTCCCAAACTATTTGGTTCTGACTTGCATTGCTGTACAAAATTCCGCTTTTATATTTCACTAGCTGCTGCCCGCGACTACGTCTGCGTAGAATAGGCTGAAAGCGTAACATTCAGACAAAAAGACAGATATACATAATGTGTATACAAATTATAGCCTATGTTTTATTCTTATTCTGATGTATGAGCTATATTATTGTAAAGTATCATTCAAATCCATTCGTGAAATATCATATATTTGATGACTCCGTGGCGCAGTTGCCAAGTTATTGGCTTCGGCGTCGGGGGTCGTGGGTTCGATTCCCACACGGGGCAACTATTTGTGTGACCCACAGATATTGTTAGTCCGCATGAAATTTATGTTTGTAAAACGTCCTTTACAACACAGGATAATATTATCCTAAAGTAAGGGAAGTGTTTTAAAAAAAAAAAAAAAATATTTGCGTGAAAGAGTAACAAACATTCATCCATACATACAAACTTACGCCTTTATAATATTAGTAAGGATTTGAGCGCTATTCAAAGTAAATCATAAACGTGTTCCCTCATTACAATACCATATATCGTTATATTATAATATCGCTTATAATATTCAGGGACAAATGGCCGAGATAATAAGATTCGAAGTAATATCAAACAATTGCTTCACATAATTGAGCGCTAAGCGTTCGCTGAATAATCGCGTCAGCCGTGCGCGCCACTTTCTTGTATTATTATGCAAATCAAATCACCTAAACATAATACGCTCGACGGTTGACATGAGGCCTGATTACTCAGTGGAATTTACATTATACCCTAAACTGACCCCTTTTTATCTAACTCAAAACGGGACATTGATTTACAATGAAAATAAACATAACATTTTAATTTTCTTTTTTCCGAAAAGATTAAAAATTAGAGGATACAAAGAAAAAAATCATCAGTTCACTATTTTTTATTAAAACAACATTGGTATATTTTTAAATATTTTTCTATTTCTCAGAGAAACAAATTTGTTTTAATAAAGAATGTGAAGATTTAAAATAAGAATAAAATTTGGCACGTTTCTTTTATGTCGACCTTTATTATCAGAATCGCCTTCAGAACTGGAGCTGTTCAATATCACCAGCACCACTATGGGAAACATTAAACTGTGCGACACTTTTCGCATCTGACATCCGAAGGAGTATTAATTTGCTTAATAAATGGGTATTTTGTTTGTAGGTTGACATTAAATGAACACTTGGGTTTCGTCATAACTATAGAAAAAATTTCAAAACAAGAAAACTTCAAATTATCTACAAAACTATTTAACGAACATTACACAAAAACATAAAGAAGTCAGAATACATGCGCGTGGCTAGCCTATTGAAAGAAACAAATGCCTCCTTCCCTCTCCTCCTCACCGCGTTACTAGGTAACCGAAGTCCGTGTATGCGGGGAATAACCGGGAATTACCATGCCAATCGCGTTTCCGTGCTGCTCATGATCATGTCTGACGAGCGTGATTTTAAAATTTCGCGCGGTTTCGGAAAACGGGACAATTTTGCGTCCCGAAGATTTGTTGACGGGACAGCTGTCCGTGAAAAGGGACAGTCCCGTTCAAAACGGGACGTATGGTAAGTTTAATTATACCGGCGCGTGTAACTCTGGGTTAAGTCAGGCTTGCTTTACCTACCGACTTATCTTTTTTTTATGTGAAAAGTTGCCAAACGAGCAGACGATTCAGCTGATGTTGAGTGTATACCGCCGCCCATGGACATCTGCCACACCCGAGGGTTACAGATGCGTTGACAACCTTTTGAAAATTGGTTTATCGAGTTCTAAATATTTTTAGCACGAAGAATTACAAGTATATACACAGAAATGTGTATTTAATATCGTGCCCTAATCGCAGTTGTGGTTCATGACACGTTGTAGGGCCACGCAGCAGCCTCGGCTGTTGCACGAATGGGCAGGCTCGTCCGGGTAAATACCACGACCTCACAGAAGACCGGCGTAAAGTGGAAGTATAATACTTTCGCGTTTCGTCTGGTGAGTGAGGTGGCCGGAGTCCAATTTGCAAAAGGTTGTCGACGTATCTGCAACCCTCGGGTTTGCAGATGTCTATGGGCGGCGGTATTCACTTAACATCAGGTGAACCGTCCGCTCGCTTAGCAACTTTTCAAATTAAAAAAAATGTACATTCGCGTTCGGTCAAATTGTATATTGAGGTACACTAACATACCTTACATCATCTGGCAAACGCATAACTTAATTATGATCACAAGTTAACATCTGGCTAAGGCAACAACGCCTCTGTCATTACTTAACTGACTTAAATCGCACGCTATCGTAATAAATTGTGCGAGTTAAAGCAGTTCACAGTCGCATGAATGTTTTATTTATTTATATATTTATTGTACACAAAACAAAAGTTACAAAAAAAAATTAAAATGAAAATAATACACAAAAGGTAAGCTTAACTCAATGCATGAGTTCTCTGCCAGCTAACCTGGTGAGAAAATAGGTGATTTAATATATTAGGGGAAGCAAAATGATACTCCTTCATACGCTTAAACAGCAATCGCGCAAAAGTGATCACCGACGAAAATTATGAAGGCTCACTAAGCAACATTAAGTTGGCGAGGATACTTATGAGTGAAGTTAATCACATACTATCAGAGATCGGTTTTCTTTATTACCATTTCTAATTATATTAAAATGCTGTGGTAGGGCTCCCCAACAATCGTTGCACGAATGGGCAGGTCCGTCCGGAGAAGTACCACGACCTCACAGAAGACCGGTGTCAATTGGAAGTGTTACATCTTCTGCGTTTCGTCCGGTGAGTGAGGTAACTGGGGGACACTTTATTAAAAGATGGCAATGCATCTGCAAAACCCTACGGGTGTTGCAAACTTTAACAAGCAAAAGTTTTAACATCGTAATGAAATCGGACGCTTAGCTCGGTTAACAAGAGTAGGCTTTAGGCGCGGAAAATAAAGTATCGAATACCGCAGCACCGGAAGAAGTTTTCGACAATTTATCTATTAAAATCGCATTAAAATTTCGTCTTAATATCATGTTAACGCCAATAATTAAAAAAATATCTACATGAAAAAAAAACCAACACTAAAATACCTTTGATACTCCAACTTCTGAACGAGGGAAGAATGGACCGCGATATAGTCGTCATAATTTGGTCAAACAGCACAGTGGAATGGTGAGAGTTTGCTGTACACCGCTCAGTGAAAAGGCCGACTCACCTGTCCGCCCCTTGCCCGCCTTGCAGTGGACCACCGCAACGTTCCTGGGGTCCGCGCTCAGCCACTTGTGCACGTCCTCGCAGAACGGCTGTATCAGCGCGATGTTCGGCGGCGTGTGGTCCTCGAACGCGTACCTCTCCACCTGAAACAAAGCTCCAGCTTCAAACAAAACTCAACTGTGGCAGGGCCACGCAATAGCTTTGGCTGTTGCACGAATGGTCAGGTGCGTCCGGGTAAGTACCACGACCTCACATAAGATGAAGTGGAAGCAAGTCTGGTGAGTGAGATCACCGGGGCCCACTTTACGCATCCGCAACCCTACGGGTGTTGCAAATGCGAATGAGCGCAGCTGCCACTTAACATCAGAAGGTGGCAATCGAGCTGGCGGTTCACCTGGTTTAAAGTGATAACCGCCGCTCGTTGAGACGCAGATGCGTCTTTTGATGAACTAGGCCCCGGCTGCCTCGCTCACCAGACGAAGCGCACAAGAATAACACTTCCATTTCGCTCCGGTCTCCTGTGAGGTCGTGTTATCGTCTGGGGAAGTACGAGGACTGTTGCATGGCCCTACCACTATTATATAACTGTCACAAAAAAAGCAAGATCAGTTAAGTTTCTCACCACCTTGTGTACGCATCGTAATGGTCCGCCGTGCTCGTAAGCGAAATGGCGAACTATTTGATTCTGAATGCTATTACCATCTATTTGTGCACACTCACTAGTGCACTATATAGCTATTGGTAGGCATGAGATATACCTGCAACATTCTGTACCCGGCCTCAAAGGTACGGGTATCGCCGTGTACCCGGTGCTAAAACTCAGTATAAAAATACCTATAGGTATTAGGTTCAGGCCTCCTTTTGGAGAATCGATCGATTCGAACGAACTTTGGAGCATTTAGATGTTTTTATAGCAATCAGTTTTTTGAAATTGAAATTTATTCAGTCTAAAATAAGCTATATCTTTACTAGCGTAAAGAACCTTATTACCAAAAAAAGTAATTCAAAATAAATATTACTGTTTATCATTATTACGCATTTATTTATCTACCTAATGGTCATAGAAATAAAGAAGAAATTTATCTCAAGGAATTATTTGGTATAAAATGCCTCAGGCATTCGAGCGCGAATGTTATGAAATACCGCCACCGTCTGACGAGGCGGCACTAGGTCCGCGTACTCGCGAGCGATATCGACTACCTATCGGGTCCGGAACGGGCCTCTGCCGTACATACCCGGTCTGGGTACTGGTACGTTCATTTAATTGTATACAACAGGCAAGAAACTGGCACCGGAAATGGGTCTTTAATGCTCCTGTTGAATAAATACCATTTATTTTGTTAGTATATACGGCTCATCTCTAGCTATTGGGTAGAAGTCATCTAGCTCCACACATATATACGCTAATAAGAGTAAAAATATGCCTTGACCCGTAAGCCGAGCGAGTTCAAGGACTTCCTGACCCAGGCATAACGGATTAAACGCCGCCGTAGGAAGAATGAAATTTAAGAAATGGCCGCTCGACCACCAGACATGAGAACATCGACGGATGTGCGGTTCGGACTTGTAGCGTGCGCACAAAAAAGAAATCCGATACCTGTGGCAAAATTCAACACAAACACACACACACACACACGTACAAACATGTGTACGATGATGTTTGCTGTGTATAGACGTTACCTAATTTACTTCACCCGCGACCTAGCCGCATGTTTTCCTCAAATTAAACACTATCTTCGTATGACAAAAGGTATTCTGTTCTCTTATTCAGCATAGGAGCCATTTTAACAGTATAAAACGTAATCCAGCACAAAAGGTATCATCATACAAACCCACATTAAAATCCAAACGATCATTGCACGAAAAGTAAACAGACAAACTTAACTTAAAAATCCAGTACCAATACATCGTCGGCTCCAGTCTCCGTCGTATATCGTATCGTTGGCATTAACATAAATCCCCAGAGGAGTAATTTACGGGGCCCGAGACTCTCCTCCCCGTCTAATAGGGCGGCGGAATCAATCTTGGTAGCCTCACTATACCGTCGCAATGAATTATAAATTACATCTCGCCGCGTGGGCGCTGTATATTTCGGGTCTAATGAACTGAATTATGAATAAATTCATTACGATTCCGTGGGACGCACCTTCGGTAGAGCCGGCGACACCCCGTCGGGTAATGCCGCTGTAATCGGGCCCGTGTCTCGGCTTAATTCCCATTGATTGATATACAGAGGTATGGTGATTATTGAGTACAACATAATTATGTTACATCAAAAGAGCTTAGTAATACAACCATTATTATTGGGCCGAATTTATCGGTGAAGCACTGTCCCACAGAACGCCTGATTAGTAAATTCGCAGATATACTTTTGCGTAATGCGGTACGGGGATAAAGCTCTTGTTGTTTCATGGGCTCGACAGCGTACCACGGTCTTCACGATAACCTGGGTAAAATATAAATATTTTAGCCTTGCGCCTGATTAAACGTGGTAACCGGAGATTATTGACATTCTCTCATCAGGTGAAGCGCATATCCACTTTCCATTATTTTTCCTTTAAAATCAATAAACTTATAACATTACATGCAATCAACGAGACAAAGGTCGCCATTTAACCATTCAATTAGCCAATTCCGATATGAGAAGTATGATACTTCTACTTCTTTGTGGGGTCGTGGTACTTCTCTGTATAAGTCTGCTAGGACTCCCACCGGGTTCCCGCCTTGTTCTGATTCAAGAGGCCAACACTGAGCCGGCATGTGGTGTAAGACAACCCCGAGAGGGCAGTTCTGAATGGGCTAATTGAGTACACTCATGCGTGCGGGTGACCAACACGTCTGGTGCTCAATATAGGACTTGAGAGGGGTGCTGGTACAATGACCGGCACATCACCATTAGGCCTTACCGTGTGGTGTAAAACCCGAGAAGAGAAGGCCCAAGAAAACCATAGTCGCGCCGGCAGACAGTTGTAACGTGGCTTTTTAAATGAGTACCCGTATCTGACAGGGACTCCCACATATCGCTGCCACCCCTCGATCAGGTTCAGGCAGGGGTTCCATAAAGGATTTTCCTACGTAAAGAGAAAATGGGATAGTCCTCTGCAAACTAGGTGGAGTCGCGGGGGAAAATTATTAAATCCTTTTAGAATTTAATGATGTAGGAGTGTATTTTTGTTCTGTATTAATACACATGAAACACAACACACACTTATTACGGAACTGCAGTTCATATTGCATTATTCTCATCGTCCACATTGCATCACCTATAAATGTAATTCTCGAAACATACCTACTTCCTAATCCGCGTGCAAGATCATACGCAATCGCTCCGAACGATCGCACTGAATAAAACATCGACACGCTCGGGGCATAAACTCGAAACATGAACGCTTCGCGGTGTCATTACTGGAAACAATTAGCGCGCGCAGCGTTCGTTACACGTTCGCTATAATACCGACGGAGTCACGTGTAAAAGCTAAATGCGCGATAAATAAATGATCACTCGGTAATCCGGATTACTGCACGAAAGGCGAAGCTTAGCATTAAATTGAGATTTAATGGCTTAGGGTGACGACACACCAGGGTGTAGAGCACGATCGTTAATAGCGCTCGCACAACTTTTGGCACAGTTCAACATTACTGCACTGTTCATTGCAACGTTATTAAACAAGCAATATATTTGGGAACGGCGAACACACTTACCGAATATATCATTCAGTGCATGCACAGCAAGGTGTTACTGCAACATGAAATAATGTTAAATAATCACTCATGCTGCCAAAAACATTCCAAAGCTATTTCCCTAGCAAGAATAGCAAAAAAGATAGTGTTTCAAGTTTTCCATTTCAATGAAATTGGTGAAAACGACCAATGGGGGACCGTAACTTTAATCGCAGTAAAGTCGACTGTTCGCCATTCGTTTCGTTCCATAGCGGTGTTACAGCTGACAGCACTGATGTGCGCATACCTTTGGTGAGCAGTTGCACGCGCCCGTAAACATCCAAGCGCTCCCCTTCGCGATTACGATCTCCGAGATATGGGGCCCGCTTAAAAAGCGATAATGTACCGCGGGCACACTTAAGCGCACCCCCAAGTACTGTAGATCTCGAATTTCGCGAGATTAAAATTCGAAATCTCCCGAATCTACACGATTCACTTTATTACTTACGGAGCAACCGTTACGACGAATTGTTTTCGATTTCATCCGATAGTAACTAAACGGGGAGATTCGAGAGGGAAAGTTTGTGTGGGATTATTACTAGTGTATAAATCTTACTCGACAATAAACGACATTCAAGCTTATTATCGATTACGAAAGGGTCGAACAGTATATAATACCCACCCTAGTTGCTTAAAAAACGACGAGGACTCAATACGTTAAGCTAATGATTTAAGACGACTATACGTATGTAGGAATGACGAAATAAATGTTATTTATTTGATATTCCTACTATATAGTTCTCTCCAAATGTCAGCGTTCAGAAATTTCAGCTTTTTTTAAAAAACAAATAACGAAAAGCAGCAAATGTTTACGACAAATCTTGATCAGATGAAGCAAAAAAAGATAAGTAGAGAGAATGGATAGAAATTCACCTTTAACGGATGTGGCTTGCGCCGAGTATTGCCGTCACGATCGGAATCTTATTGGTAAGATTTAATGCGGCCACACCGATGCCCTGTCACTTTTACCGTGTTCAGATGTACGCAGGTGCTATTCCGAGCTTGACTGTCAAGTGAATGTGAGTGCATTTCGATATGATCCAGAATCAGCACCACCGCTCTTTTCCCGGCGAACTATTAACACAGCGGACGGCCTGCACTGGATAGCGCTTCCAAATCCCCTCGTAAGGCCTTAAGAAGGCCGTGGCAACCGGCCTCTCTGGCGGTACACCATGTTCACGATAGAAACTAGGCCTCTCTAGGTGTGTTGATGATCGAAGAGAGGAAGCTAAGGTCAAACAACCCAACAATGACGGAGACAAGGACGCTAAGCCAAATCCTTACTAATATTATAAAGGCGAAAGTTTGTATGTATCGATGGATATTTGTTACTCTTTCACGCAAATACTACTGAATGGAATTTAATGAAACTTTACGATAAAGTAGCTTATACATCAGAATAAAACATAGGCTAACATTTACA